AAATCCGCGTGCTGCTGAAGAGACGACCAACTTCATCTCGTTGACAAATCCACTGAAATTACGTAGTAAAATACGTCTCCGTAAAATAAAATGCATAGCAACGTATAACTGCCAGGCAGCTAATCAGCGAAACAAAAGAACTTAATTCGCAATTAATACCACCGTGCATTAAACATCGAATTATTAATTTCTCTCTTTTCGTTGTTTCCGAAAGCTATTGAATCTAAGATGACTAGGCTCGATGGTTAATCCCGAGCCGAAAGAAACAGTTGAAACTTTTGTTATTCGTATCAGATCGTAAGTCCACGAATTTTATTACAATGCAATACGTCGATTTTTAACGGAGCAGAATAGCAAACCAAGTAAAATTGAAAGAGTCTGCGTAATAAATCGAACGTGCCAGCCGACGTATGTACATATGCTTTATGACCACGATAAATATCGTTATACAATTAACAAATCAATAGAGATGCATGAAACGCTAAGTGAGCGATGTAGAATAACGTATTCAATTTATAATTTTGAGAGCAGCACAAGAACTATTGAATCTCGCTTGCTTAAATCTTTGTCTACATTGTAGATCGTAGATCATCATCGCGCACGTTTTACTACGATTGATCGCCGACTGGCACCAGTCAAATTTGTAGAAGTGTAAAATAAAAACTGAAAGACAGTGCCACGAAACTACACAGCGCACACAGCAAGCGATCTGATTGGATATAAACCTTCTTTCCAACTGTTGGACGGTCCCTCACCTGGCGCCTGATCGGATATCTGATTGGTGAGTTTGGCTCGCATCAACTTAGCAATGAAAAGAATATTTCGCTTGATCCACTTAATGAAACGCGCTATGCGATCGATGGCCTCCGCAATCTTGTTCGTGTCGTTGTCCGCGGTCGGGGCTGACAGATTCGACGAGCCGAAGTTGCTCAGCAACAGAGCTAAGAAGAGATTCAGGACCTGTTCCATGGAAAAGTAACGTCCGTTTATCGATGATTTGCTCATAAATAAATATTTTTTATAATTCTTCCTCTCTCGTATAAAACAAGGAGTATTTTTTATATCGATTTTAAAACTTGCATCGTCAAAAAGAGATTTCGCATTTATACTTACGACCAAGTTACCGATGACGACAGTGGCTAAGAAGAATGGTATGCAAGAGACATCGCCGACGAGCATACAATCCCACATAGACTCGATCCACTCTCCGCACAACACCCGAAAAACGATCATAAAAGAATGCATGAAATCGGTGAAGTTCCATCTCGGCAATTCCTCGTCCGGGAAGAGATGCATGTTGTCGATGTAATTCTTGCCGAAAAGCTGCATACCCATCACGGCGAAGATGAAGATAATGATGCACAATACGAACGTCAAATTACCCAGCGCGCCCACCGTTCTGCCCATGATGGAGATCAGCAGATTCAGCGTAGGCCACGATTTAGCCAGCTTGAACACTCTTAGCTGAAAAGAATCATTTATTTTTATGGTTTATTTCATTCGTAAAATAATTCGCTCATCGATTAATGGAATTGTAAATTATATAAAAACGCAAGAGAGAAAAAAAGATATATATGACACTCACCAATCTGAATGATCGTAATACCGATAGACCTTGCACACCTTCCAAACCCAACTCCAGAAGCGAAAGAGCGACGATTATAAAGTCAAAGATATTCCAGCCTTCTTGAAAATAATATTTCGGGCTCATCGCTATCAGCTTCATAGTCGCTTCGATAGCGAATGTTGCAGTGAAGAACTAGAATTTCAATTATAATAGATTATCGATAACGATGGAAATGTTTGAATCTTTCAATCTCATTAAGTCTTTAAACAATTCAATCGCGTAGATACTCACGTAATTGCCAGATTTGAGAACTCTCTCCATATCTTTGTCCATATCGTGGTGATCCAACGCCATGAAGAGTGTATTGACGACGATGCAGAGCGTGATGAAGAGCTCTACGAACGGATCAAAGACCAACAAGGACACGTACTTTTGAAACTCGAGCCACAGCCAGCAGCAGTCCCAGACGCAAAAGATGTCGATACAACGGAATATTCCGGCCAATAACTTGTCCTTGAACGTAGGCCCTTCTTCATCGTCGTCTGTCGGAAAGTAATAGGTCGAAACTGTAACGCGCGTTAGTAATTTTGTCTGGCACCACTCTTTTTGGGGAAAGAGGTTTTTTCTTTGGTCAGGTTCTCATTCTTCGAGATCACAGATTATATTTACAGGCAGGCAGACAAGCGGAAGGCGTGGCAAAATTTAAAAAAAAAAGGCACACACACATACGCACACACTTAATCAATGAGTGAAACAAAACATGTAATATGAATTTGGATACGTAAAATGCGCTATGCTTAAAATATCTTGAGATAAAATATATCCTTTTCAAAATGTTATAATTTTCTTTTCTGTATAAAGCCTCATACATCGCTACACGTAAATATTGTTATATTAATGATTTTTTTTTTTAAAACAAAAACATCATTGCAATGCACATCAATGGTACGAATAATGTGCGATGCAACAAATAATATAATTATATTATTGCGCAATCGAGAACTTAAGATCAATTATTTCAACGTTTAAAACAAATGAGATAATTCTGTTTTAATACTTTCGCCATTAATATAAGTATTACATTATCATTTCTCTTAAAATTAAATCAAGTCAAAAATTATTACGATAATACAAGTATATTAAACTTAGAAGACATAATCTTGCTTGTGATCTGATTTTTAAGAAAAATATTTCTGCAGCGAAAGGATTAAACCTTATGCATTGATGCAATTAAGCGATTAATGATAACCAATAGTAAACATAACCACGTGGAACCCTTTGTAACTCAAACATTTTACAATTACATACAGTTAACAAACGATGTCACACACTGTATATCTCTCAAATCAAGCGGCAAGTCAGCATACAGTTGTCAGTAAAGTACTGTCTTCGCGAATAGCTGTGTCGACGAAATTCGCAGACGCAATAAAACGAAAGTGCGATTTACAGCTTTGCGTGCAAAAGCTCGAATCGTAGATGACCGAATATCTTTCGCGAAGACTGACAACGCGTTGCCGGATATCTCTATTTTTTTCGAAATACGCTGATTTCTTGTCGTATTGTGCACTCGGTAAACAAACGCAATAGTGCCCTTCAACGCGGTGGTGCATGTGCAAAATATTGAAAGATTAACCAAAATCGCTGCAGTTTCGTATCGGAAATAAAAGATAAACAAGATCTCTCAATCATCGATGAAGAATAAAAAAGAAGAAATATCGAGGACATTATTTTAAATAAATTTTGTTTCTCTTCCAAATTAAAAAAGAAAATCAACTTTATACACAAAATTATAAAATCAACATTTTATTTGTATTATCATATTTTTTTATAAATATAAATATATCTATAAATTTTTTTTTTTTTATAAATATAAATATATTTATAAAAAATTAAAGTGCACCCCATATACATAAATATAATATGTTTAGAGCGAAAAAAGAAGATAATATATTTTTTGAAAATTATCGCGGTGAATTATTACGGCTTGTATTGACGATTGAGATAATCCAAAAGAAGCATGAAGCGACCAAAATCGTGCAGCTGCGGCGAAGGTGGTAATCTGTGTCATGTCGCAGGAAACGAAACAAACTCTGTTTCCCCAAAAAAATTACTCTCACAAACCGCCCTCGAAGGGCCACGAGCCGCAAATCGTGACTCTTTCTCGTTGCATCACGCTGCTCAGAAGAGGTACGATATATACCTTGCATTTTACCATTATTCATCATTCAGATACTCGATATCAAATTCTTGTTGGCAATATGTGTAATATCGATCCGTTGTATTTATACATATATGTGTATAGCGTTAAATTACACACCATGCTGAATCGTAAACGAAAATCGAAGGAAACACGCGTGCGATCTGACTGCGGCGTCGGCTGGGTTGAAACATTAAAGCTGAAAACTTGTTCGGTCTGTTGTCACTATGTACAAGGCGCGCGCGGGGGATTATCTAGGGTATGTTCAGCAAAGTAAATGCCGACGCAAGGGAGTATAGTACGTAACGGGAGAATTTTAAACCATATAACGTACATCGAGCGGCGAGGGATGCTTATCGCACGATAAATAGGATATACACATTTGCGACGAGGAGTGAACGGAAAATAAATTTTACAAAAAAAAGAAAAAAAAATTCTTCGAGATACTTCTTGGCAAAGGAGATGCGGACAGAGAGGACATTACCTTCTTGTTCCGGCGTCCGGCTCTGGCGACCGGCGGCCTGCTCGATGATGTCGTTCAACACCATCACGTCTGCGAAAAAACGAGATACGACAAAGTAAGTTTCAATTGTTCGAGAGACCACTCGCTAATTATTTAGTAACTCAATCTCACCCTTCATGTCAACCGCGGTATGCTGCTGAGACGGCTCGATGAACGGATTGTCTTGTTGCTTGGTCTTGCCCATGGGATCTTCCAAATCGGTTTCCTAAAAAATTCATAGAATGATTACAAAAATCGCCGTTCGTTGTGCGGTATTATCGCTGTTGTGCACGGACAAAATGTTATAGTAAAAATAACAATATAATTTGTGTAATGGAACATACTAATTTATAAGAGAAATCCCAAGCGCGATATTTTTCTTCAATAATATTATATATACAAATTATATTTTACAAAGGAGTATTGTAATTATTTAAATATTTCCATGTACATACATAAAAATGCATAATCGTTAACAAATATAATAGAAAAAATGTATAATTTATAATTTTTATAGTAATAAATATCTTAATGTCGTTATATTTCAGCGTTACAATAAATGTTGTAAAAGAGAATGTATTTTTTTCATGTAATTTGCTGTACTGTAAAATTTTCTACGTGTGCATTCAAGCATTATACATCGAGTCTTCGTATATTGACATAAATGACAACTTTACGCAAATGTGCTTGCAACGCGGTACCATATTTACAGTCAATTATTGTCAATCTGGCAACAAGAATTGAAACTGATAGAAATATATTTTACGATCAAATGCATACACACACACATGAATCATGCGTAAACACTGATATTGCATTCTTTGCGAGGCGAAGAACTCAACGCTGCGTTCTTCCCGCAATTCAACAAATTTTTTCATATATTTATTGTCAATTAAACTCGTTTACGTCGGTCGAGATCTTCCTCTCTCCTTAATTCTATCTATCGACCCTTGTACTCTCGCGGTCTTCGCAAATAACTGAAAGACTTACAAAGTGATAGGACTTTTGATTGGTGTCCATAGCATGGCCGTTGACAGGCGTCGTCTGTTTGTTGGTACGATTCCTGAGGATCTGCTCCTGCTTGGTGAGCTGCTTGCCGATGCTGTCGATGCCACGGATGCCGGGGAACGCCAGATCGCCGTGGGACGTGTAGGAGAGCCGCGACGTGTGGGACGTGTATGACGAGTGACGCGAGCCGAGATTCGCGTAGTACACCGGTACCACAATCGTGCCGTTCTCCTCGGACATAGGCGTGACCGCGTTTGAGTCGTCGGCGTAGGGTAGATGCTCCTGGGCATCCAGGTACGTTGACAGCACAAGGGGCTTCCGGTCGCCGCCCGGCGGGACGAAGCATCGGCCGCGGCCGTTGCGTATTGTAAATTGGTGGCTGCCACGGCTGCTGCGGCGCAGATTGAACGGTGAGCCGGGTAGGCTCAGGCTCGCCTGAAATTATAACAAGGTGGTCCACCGCTTTTCTCTCTCTCTCTCCATTCTTCTCCGGAAGGCAAGGACCAGCCGGAAAGACTGTCTCTCTTTTTATTTCTCTCTTTCCTCCTCTTCCTATCTCTTTTTCTCGACGATGGAGTGACTCTCCCTCGGGACGATCGTGACATTTCCCGCACGCGAAATCGATCGCAACCTAACACACGCTTAACGGATAGTTTGAAGAGTCACGAGCTGTGATGCATGAATATTTTCGTTAGCATTATTTAAGAAAGATTTCGTAGTATCGCCTTCCAAATGACAGGAAAATGGCAAAAGATATTTTTAGGAATTTAAAAGATTTCAATCGAAATTGTTACACAGCAGGTAACTCTTCAAACAAACTAGCCGTTCAGCATTTCATCCCGGTTCCCTATTTTAACTATCAAGTTACGAAACGAATCGATAGTATCAGACTGCCTATTTGATCATCTTCCAAGTGAATATGCGGTGCCGTGTGACTCATTAAAGGAAAAGAAGAAAGAGAAGAATAAACGTTTAGCCAAACGTGTCAGGCATTTCGCTATTGATTCGTTATTACGCGAGAGACAGACGCGAAACGATCGATCACCGGTGATGATTCACGTTTGTCACGAGCCGGGAATCCGTTAAAGCGAAGACAAAACGAGCAATTTATAAGACACATCGTCCCTCAATATAACTGCGAGTCGTAACGCGCGGAGCATTGATGAATGGCACCGGTCTCGAGATGATAATATCATTTGTGAGAGATCGTGATCGGGTCCTATGGTGCTATTTAGTGTACGTACGGTCGGTGCTGATAGACACACGTCGTGACACACGTACCTTCCGTAGACTTTCCTGGTAGGCATAAGTAAACTGGCCATTAGCGGCGCGAGGGACCTTAAGAAAAAAACAAGAAAAGATATCTCCTACCAAACGGCTCGTAACGTGATCTAATGTGTACACCAACGAGGCACTCGAAATAGGTAGAGTATGACATAACACTTGCAGAAGCACACATAACACAATCGTGAATGTGATTACGGAGAGATAGAAAAAAAAAGAGAGGGGAAAAGAAAATTACAAGGATCATAAAGAAAATATTCTTGTCGAGGGAGACAAGTTTCGCGAATCTAGCGAAAAGGAAAAGAAAAATGTGAATCTGTAGAGACATGAAGATATATCGGCGATTACATTTCATCTAATTGCGTCAATTAATCAGAGCGAATGTACATTCATTATCAGTATACACGACGTACATTATTATCGAATATTTTTATTTTAATTAAAAGTTTGTACATATATATGTTAAATAAAAAAGAAAAGGAAGGAAATAAAAAAATTAATTAGTTTGCATTTAATAAAATTTCTCGGGCAAATAGCGTTTTCGAGCAACTATCGATTCAAGCAACAGCCGATATTTCGTCTCTCCGCTAGAGATACTAAATCACAGCATATACTTCTCTGCATGCATGGCTCCATAAAACAGGACTGAATTGGATGTATGTCCGGTATGCGCTGTGTCGATACGGCCGAAATTCACTGTTCCGCGCGTTACAACTACGCGCAATCGCAAGATCGAAGCAGTGATACTCGACACGTTGAAGATGTATGTATTTACGTTATAACTAGAGCGAACGATCAATGAGAGGGGAGATAGGTTCTATGCGTATAAAGCCACCTATACATATGTATATATTATATATATATATATATATATATATATATATATATATATATATATATATATATATATATATATATATATATATATATATATATATATATATATATATATATATATATATATATATATATATATATATATATATATATATATATATATATATATATATATATATATATATATATATATATATATATATATATATATATATATATATATATATATATATATATATATATATATATATATATATATATATATATATATATATATATATATATATATATATATATATATATATATATATATATATATATATATATATATATATATATATATATATATATATATATATATATATATATATATATATATATATATATATATATATATATATATATATATATATATATATATATATATATATATATATATATATATATATATATATATATATATATATATATATATATATATATATATATATATATATATATATATATATATATATATATATATATATATATATATATATATATATATATATATATATATATATATATATATATATATATATATATATATATATATATATATATATATATATATATATATATATATATATATATATATATATATATATATATATATATATATATATATATATATATATATATATATATATATATATATATATATATATATATATATATATATATATATATATATATATATATATATATATATATATATATATATATATATATATATATATATATATATATATATATATATATATATATATATATATATATATATATATATATATATATATATATATATATATATATATATATATATATATATATATATATATATATATATATATATATATATATATATATATATATATATATATATATATATATATATATATATATATATATATATATATATATATATATATATATATATATATATATATATATATATATATATATATATATATATATATATATATATATATATATATATATATATATATATATATATATATATATATATATATATATATATATATATATATATATATATATATATATATATATATATATATATATATATATATATATATATATATATATATATATATATATATATATATATATATATATATATATATATATATATATATATATATATATATATATATATATATATATATATATATATATATATATATATATATATATATATATATATATATATATATATATATATATATATATATATATATATATATATATATATATATATATATATATATATATATATATATATATATATATATATATATATATATATATATATATATATATATATATATATATATATATATATATATATATATATATATATATATATATATATATATATATATATATATATATATATATATATATATATATATATATATATATATATATATATATATATATATATATATATATATATATATATATATATATATATATATATATATATATATATATATATATATATATATATATATATATATATATATATATATATATATATATATATATATATATATATATATATATATATATATATATATATATATATATATATATATATATATATATATATATATATATATATATATATATATATATATATATATATATATATATATATATATATATATATATATATATATATATATATATATATATATATATATATATATATATATATATATATATATATATATATATATATATATATATATATATATATATATATATATATATATATATATATATATATATATATATATATATATATATATATATATATATATATATATATATATATATATATATATATATATATATATATATATATATATATATATATATATATATATATATATATATATATATATATATATATATATATATATATATATATATATATATATATATATATATATATATATATATATATATATATATATATATATATATATATATATATATATATATATATATATATATATATATATATATATATATATATATATATATATATATATATATATATATATATATATATATATATATATATATATATATATATATATATATATATATATATATATATATATATATATATATATATATATATATATATATATATATATATATATATATATATATATATATATATATATATATATATATATATATATATATATATATATATATATATATATATATATATATATATATATATATATATATATATATATATATATATATATATATATATATATATATATATATATATATATATATATATATATATATATATATATATATATATATATATATATATATATATATATATATATATATATATATATATATATATATATATATATATATATATATATATATATATATATATATATATATATATATATATATATATATATATATATATATATATATATATATATATATATATATATATATATATATATATATATATATATATATATATATATATATATATATATATATATATATATATATATATATATATATATATATATATATATATATATATATATATATATATATATATATATATATATATATATATATATATATATATATATATATATATATATATATATATATATATATATATATATATATATATATATATATATATATATATATATATATATATATATATATATATATATATATATATATATATATATATATATATATATATATATATATATATATATATATATATATATATATATATATATATATATATATATATATATATATATATATATATATATATATATATATATATATATATATATATATATATATATATATATATATATATATATATATATATATATATATATATATATATATATATATATATATATATATATATATATATATATATATATATATATATATATATATATATATATATATATATATATATATATATATATATATATATATATATATATATATATATATATATATATATATATATATATATATATATATATATATATATATATATATATATATATATATATATATATATATATATATATATATATATATATATATATATATATATATATATATATATATATATATATATATATATATATATATATATATATATATATATATATATATATATATATATATATATATATATATATATATATATATATATA